CCTACTCCTTCCTCCCTATCTTCCCCAAAACACACTTCGCCGAAAATAGCGTTCCCTCCACACCCCTTCGTTGAAAGCAACCTTCCTCTACACCTTGTTTTGTCGGAAACAAAGATACTCCACATCCCTGAAACCCCACTTCGTCAGCCACCAACACAAGCACAAACTAAAAAACAAAGTCGGCAATGACCTACGGTTGTTGTTCCACCGCTTGGTTGCACTTCTAGGTTGAAACTCTGATGCCCATATATCATCTTTGATACATATAAATTGTCGTGTTTTCTCATTTGTTTATATCTTACTCCCCTCTTTGATATTCGGTTGAATTTTGTTGTTAACCAAAAATCATTGTTCTGATCTTAGGCTAAATAAAGTTTTTTTTTTCTTTTTTTTGCCGAAATCATTACCAACTCGTTAAATAAAAAATCTACATAAAATTCCACAATGATTGTCGTCTTTTGTGGGTCCCAGGTATTTTTTTCTTACATCAATAATTTTAGAGTAAATTGTGGGTGGATTTGGTCTCTGTGGTTTGGTGGTTTTTACAAAAATGGTTTTGGTCGTATGTATTTCTGTGACGAATTTGTCCTTCCTTTTAACAGTCATCCAGTTTCTCCCTTAACCTTGAGGGCATTTTCGTTCTTTTTCTTTTTGTTTTACTCGAGGGACCAATTTTGTAAAAACCATAAAAACCCCATAGACCAAATCCATAATTAAGTCTAAAAAATAAAATAAAAAATTAATTTTTTATATTTTGAGTTTAATAAATTAATTAATTGTTATGCTTTAATATATATTGATTATTATACTTTAAGTTTTATTTTAATATACAATATATTTTCTTTCAAAAAAAATATATTATGTATGTCTAATACGTGCGTTTGCATGCGCACACACATATATAGCGAGGTTTAGTATAGAATTATCAATCATTATATAAATTGATTTAACGGATATAATTAAAGTGACGATTACAATAATATTTTTTAAGTTAAAAAACCTCACCCACCTATTTTTATTAAAAGAAATACAAAATATAAATAAAAATCAAGGGAATAAATTATACCCAAAAAACAATCATATTTTTCTCATTTGACATCCATATTCATGTATTTTTTCCATCCAATTTTTTCGTGGTTTTATGATTTTTCATTTATTTTGCGCACACACACGCACACACACACACACACAGAGACTTGAGTTCAAAGAAAAACGTCAAATAAATGAAAAAGCGAAAAATCATGAAAAAATGATGAAAAATATATATATCAATGTGGTAATAATTTGTTTTGTTAGATTTTTGTTTATTTTATAAACATTAGGGGTTCTGGGTTTTTTTTTTTAAAATATTGTTAATAAACGTTCATTTAATCACATCATTGAAGCAATTAATTTAATGGTTGATGGATGTGGGTTTCCCCTAAAAGGTTGAACGTCGTTATGTATACATATATGTGTGTGTGCGTGTACGCATGTGTATACGTACATACTACATATTTTTTTGAAATAAAATATTATATATTATACATAATAACAATTAATTAATTTAACAAAATAAAGTTTGAAAAAGTTTATATATATATTTTTTATTTTCTAGACTTATTACAAATCTAGTCTCTGTGGTTTGTGTGGTTTTTACGTAATTGGTCTATCGAATAAAGACAAAAAAAAGGACAAAAATGCCCTCAAGGTTAATGGAGAAACTGGATGACCGTCAGAGAGAGGGAACAACTTGTTATAAAACGACATACGATGAGTCCTAATCTGTAATAAATGAAGTTCAAGGACTATTTTCATAAAAACCACCAAACTATAGAGACCAAATCCGCAATTTAAGGACCTTCCTAATTGTTTCCCGTTATTACTTGAGATTTATAGTTTTATTATTCTTTTAATACAAAAAAGTTTAATAACTTCTATCAAAATAGACATCATATATTTTTAGGCAAAGTTAAAGCATCTACAACAGATTTTCTAAAACAGAGACTCAAAAGTGTAAATTTTCAAAAAAAAAAAAAAATATATATATATATATATATATATATACACACTATATATATATATATACACTATATATATATATATATGTTTATCTACAATAGATTTCCATTTTTTGGAAATTACAATGTTATTTATATTTCTAAAATATTCAATACAACTCATAAAATATTAATTTTCTCATCTAAACATTTAATTCTAAGGATTTTCATTGATAGAAAAAATAAAAATAAAAATCATTTCTTTTTTCTTAAGCAATCATTTTCTGAGAGTTCTCCAAATTTGAATGATATATGAATAAAGTTGGTATGAATAATGAGCCTCATATGGAAATTTGTTTATGTTTAAATAAGGCCCAATTTTTATTTAGGTGACATTTGTGTTTTAGAGATGTAGAATTCTGAAGTCTTATTTCACTTCTGATTGATAAAACGTGGTATTGAAGTCTGAAATTTGAACCAAAGAGCCTTTGACCTAGCGGTATTGTAGCCCTTGGCCTTCTAGAAGGTCAGGGGTTCAAACCTCACCATAGGTGAGGAGGGTGTGCGAGTTTATTTGTTGCATTTGCGGTATATAAATATTATATACTTAAAAAAAAAGTCTGAAATTTGAATCAATAATACTTTTTTGTTTTTGTATACTAACAAATGTCTGAATATGTAAAATTGTCTGTTTTTATCCCTGAAAATAGCAACAAACAACTAACCAACAAAAACCAGCATTAAACTACAAAAAATATCAACAAAAGACAAGAAAATAGCAAAAACCAGCAAAAACCAGCAAAAACCAATAAAAGCAACAAACATAATGCTAGTTTTGATCTACCATTTACCCAATCCAAAATCAAGAAAACTCTCCAGCAGAACAAGATAAAAGCAGTAAATCAGAGCATAAGGAACTATTATGTGAACAAAATGAGATATTCCCTTCAAATTACATGTACAATCAACTCAAATCATTTTATGAACATTATATGAAGATAAAAGAACGAAGAACTAGCCTTGTTTTGACTATATTATGATGTTTATTGCCTATCTTTCTATCTGACTGTGTTGTAAATGAAATTTAGCTATTTGTAAAGGGATTCAAGTCGGTTGATTGTGCTTGTAAGTGTTCGTATGAATGTTGTGTCATCCATATTTTGTAGGTTACATCTAAAAGTTAAGACCCATTTGGGAAAGAAATTATCATGGTGGTTTTAATGCTAATAACTTATAATGTGGTGACTGCTCGTAATATGAACTTGAAAGTTGTCTGCTTTAATGTTGAAGAACATATTTCGTCTCTGAAAAAGAAAGTGAAACAAAAATGAAATGGTTGTGTAGTAGCACATCTATCAGTTTACCACCTTCAAAACATTAATCGAAAAGAAGAAAACTCAACTTTTTAGATGGAAACTCATAAAAATGGATCTAGATCCACTAATAATCAAAACCCAGTCACCAATCGATGTACAAACGTAAATTAGGGTAAAGATTGATGGATACCTTGGTTATGTTCTTGAAGAAAGCTTGGATTAAGTAGGAGAAAACTTGCGATTTGGAGAAAGCAAAAATGGATATAACGTTATTATACGAGATCTGACGATAAACCAGTTGTAAATTAGGGTAAAGATTGATGGATAACTTTGTTCTTCAAGAAAGCATGGATCGATCTAAATAAAACTTGCGATTTGGAAATGCGTGCGATCTAAATAAAACTTGCGATTTGGAAATGCGTGCGCCATCTGGGAGATGAGAGGAAGGAAGTCGATTGAGTGATAAGAGATGTTTAAAGGGTTAGGTCTTGTCTATCTTTTTCATAACACGGTAAGATACAAGTGACTCTGAAAAGTTGAAAAAAACAAACAATTTGAATTGACTTATGTCTGACCGAATTAGACATAAGAGGCTTAAAAGAGTTTTTTTAAAACAAACACCGCCTTAGTGTTATTGTACTTGATGGCATACTTTATCAAAGATCTAATATCATCTAGTTCATGCCCTGAATTTTGTACGTTGATAATAATATCAATGATATTTTTATAAAATGAAAACATGACGAGTTTATGTTTGAATATGTAAAGGTTAGTGTTACGGCTTGAATGAACTTTGCCATGAATATAATATCATCATATATCTATTTTTGGTTTTACTAAAGAGGACCATCTTGGCAAAATTCCTAAATCTATCATATGAATAACTACTCTTTATTCCCTACTAAATGGAAACATTTTTGCCTATAAGATTTTCTTTAAGAAATTCATTGCTAAAGGGTGATTGGTCACATAACTGCCATAAAAGTTGGTGGGTATTTCAGATCAGTGACAGGTTACCTGGGTATTCTTTGGATGATTCGTTGGTATTTTCTCGAAATAAGATTCTGCTTAACCATTTGTATTTTCATGATAATCCATCAATAATCATTGACGGAAATTCTCTAAGTGATTTTTATGGATAAAAATCATTTGATTTGTAATAATTCTTATAAGATTTGCTATTAATACCCTTTTTTTTATTCACATAGCAATTCATTTCTTACCCTTCTTACTCATCTACTTTTATGTAAAAAAAAATATAAATAAATAAAAAAAACACCAATTTTATTGTTAAATGAGTAAAATTTAGGGGTTGTTTGACAGTTGCTGAATGCTTTGGTATAAAATGACTAAAAGACTCTCATGATATAGTTCAAAATAAATTATAATTGTTTGGTAACCAAAATCATTCAAAGGATTTTGAAACTATCAATAAACAGATTCTTTTTTTACCAAACACAATTTACCTCTTGACGATTCAAAACATACCTCTATATGAAACTATTAAGAAATAAAAAAGAGTAATATTTTCCAACTTTTAACTAAAAAATATTTCACATTCTCCTTTTCTTTATCACCTCCCCTCTCGTTTTCATTTACTACCATTTTTACTTTCACTTCAATCGTGTCAAAACTTCAACCCCCCCCCCCCCCCCTTCTTTCCTTTCTCCCAAGCACATAAAATTACATAAGCAACGCTGTTTCCCAAAGAAAAAAAACTCAGACACCAGAAGAAAACATCAAACTCTTTGTTTCACACATACACACACACACACACTTATCAAGAAATCATGAACATGGATTCTTCTCAATCTCATCATCAGAATCAAAACAACAACTGGCTTGCCTTCTCTCTTTCCAACTCCAATACCCTCTTTCAACAACCACCACCCACCGCCTTCCACCACCACCGTAATTATTTATCTCCCCTCTCTCTCTCTCTCTCAAACTTCATACCCACATCTTCAAATCAACAAAAAGAAATGATCTTTAATATGGGTTTTTAATCTTTTGCAGCTGAAGGAGATCATGCCACTGGAACAACAACCAGCCGACATGATTTGTCCATTCTCACCGGCGGCAGTCCCAAACTGGAAGACTTCCTCGGCGGTTGTGGCTCCGCTGCCTCCAGTGGATCTGGTCCCGATGTTTGTCATTTCCCAGATGAATCACAGTCCTCGATGCAACCCCATGACGCAGCTTCGATTTATGACTCCGACTTGAAGACAATCGCTGCTACCTTCCTCCGTGGTTTCTCCACCGACAACCACCACCATCTGCATCAACAGCTGGCGGTGGCTCCAACTCCAACACCACCGCCGCCGCCGCAGGATAACCCTCCGGCTAAAAAGGCTATCGATACCTTCGGCCAACGCACTTCCATTTACCGTGGTGTAACAAGGTAAGTATTTCTATCGAATATTATGAATCCAAAGATCGAAAAAACAAGAGCTTAAATTTGTATCTTTTTTTGAATAAAATCTTCAAGGCACAGATGGACGGGGAGATATGAAGCTCATTTATGGGATAATAGTTGCAGAAGAGAAGGGCAAAGCAGGAAAGGAAGACAAGGTAAAAGATACATGCCTCTAACAATGACATCTAACATGCGCCAACTGCACCGACTAACATACACCGTTGCACAGACCAGAGATCTGACTCATACTGATCAGTTCATTTCATTTATTACAATGAGGTTCTTATCTCGAGAAAAAATAATAAAGGAAACCATCAACGGCTCGGATTTTCTGGTTTCCATAAAACCACTGGTTTCGATAGAACAAACTGTTTCGTGGTTTATGCTATCGTGCGCGTTTCTATGGCGTCTCTTCAAGAACCCTAATTCTAATCATTTTGTCTGTTTGATTTTGTTGCATGTACTGATTGCTTGATGAATCTTCAGTTTACTTGGGTGAGTTCTTTTCTCCATTTTAATCTTTTTACCCTTTTAATTTTTCTTCAAATTATTATCTCTGCATGCAATGAATCATAGATTAATTGATCTTTTTAATTATTTTAATTCATCAATCTTGAATCTTTTTTAATTATTAATCAATACTCCATCCCTGTAGCTTGATTTATATATTCAAATGGAGGGTGTGGTTTCTTGAGATGGTTGCGTCATCGAGTCTTGTTTTCGCATCAAAATCAATTATATAATTTATTAATTAGTTTTTGATATATATATATATATATATATAAATATATGATTGATCAGGGGGATATGATAAGGAAGATAAAGCAGCTAGAGCTTATGATCTTGCAGCCCTCAAGTACTGGGGTCCGACCACCACCACAAATTTTCCGGTATGAATGCGTTGATTCTTGTATTTGAAATTAGGGTTTTTTATTTTGATTTTAAAGAAAATTGGAACCCTTATTTTATTTACATTTCTTAATTAATTTAGGTTTGTAACTACGAAAAAGAGCTTGAAGAAATGAAGAACATGACTCGGCAAGAATTTGTTGCTTCACTTAGAAGGTAATTAAATAGTCAATTTAATTACTGTATATCGCTTTTATAAACCGTTAATACTTTTTGAGGGTAGATGTCAGGTTAGATCACAGAATAGTACCACATCCTTTTGTTTGGTTCGGTTTGGTTTGGTTTACCTTTTTATAGACCATCGTCCGATGACACTTGTCATCGATTGTGGTCATTTGGAGCTGGAATATTGATGTATTCGGGATGGTATGATTGTATCGTTTGGTAATCGACAATTAGTCACTGATTCATGAGAAAATTTGCAGGAAAAGCAGTGGGTTTTCTAGGGGAGCCTCGATTTATAGAGGAGTCACAAGGTAATTCGTTTGTTCCTATGGTTGTTTGGTTTGTTGGTGTCGGTACGAACGTACACCTTTTGTAGAACCAAGTCGATTGTGTACGTTTTATCTGCAACATCGAGTCTGTGAATAGAAAATTAGATTTGTGAGCTCTCGTAGTTATGGGTTACCAATAACTTTCACCATTGATTTTAAGTTGATTTGGAGTTATTTGGTCACTTCACATAATTGGTATTGGTTTAAGTAATGCACTACTGAATTTCTGTTCTCTAAAATTTAGGCACCATCAACACGGCCGTTGGCAAGCAAGAATCGGAAGAGTAGCCGGCAACAAAGATCTCTATCTCGGAACCTTCAGTGAGTCCCTTCCGAGTGTGTTATTGGCATCATCTATATAAAATTTGTCGTCATGATGTTAAGCGTGAATTTGTTGTTTATTTTAGGTACACAAGAAGAAGCAGCGGAGGCATATGACATAGCCGCCATCAAGTTCCGAGGACTAAACGCTGTGACAAATTTTGACATGAGCCGATACGACGTGAACAGCATCGCCAACAAAAACCTCCCGATCGGTGGCATGTGCAGCAAATCCAAGACCTCAATGGACCAATCTCGGCTCGACCCAAACCAGCGGTCCGACGAGCGAGACCTCTCAAGCTCAACCTCCCAACCCCAACCACAACCACAACCCTCAAACATCCTAAGCTTTGCCATGCCAATGAAACCCGACCCATCGGCTGACTACTGGACTTCAGTCTTAGGGTACAACCAAAACCAACAAATGTCATCATCTTCTTACCAAGGTACAACACCATACAGCATGGAATACCCTTCAAGTACAAGCTACTACAACGGAGGAGGGTTGGTTGAGCAAGAGAACAATAATAATGGTACTGGTGTTGCTTTAAGTACTACATCAACAATTCCAATGGCTACCCCTATGGGTTTGAATGGATCTAGTTATGGAAACTGGATAGAACAGTCTTTTCACTCGAATCAACCTGGCAAGCAAAATCTTTCAGTTTTTCAGACACCCATATTTGGAATGGAATGATTTGAATGGAGGGTAAAGTGAGAGTTGAATGAAAGAAGGGGGTGGCAGAAGTTGACAGATATGATACTACCTACTGTTGCTGTTACTATTACTAACACCAAGTTCTTTGTATCATTAATTTAGGTTTATGTGTTTTGTGTTCATTTTTTCTGCTTTTTTGCCTTTTTCATCTTTACTGACTGCCCGTATTATAATTAATAGAAAATGTTCTTCAAAATCGATCTCCTTTCTTTTCGACTCGTTTACACGATCATGACACGAGGGTTGTGACCAAAAAGCCGAAAATAAATCGACAACCGTTGATGATGTACAAGTCTAATCGATGATATAGAAAGATGACGTGTTGTAAATCATCTCAAACCGATGAGCTAAAGAACTAAAACCTGTATCAAGTGTGTTGATAGAACTCGAAGGTTGAATTAGGTTTTTTTTTATCCAAATGCTTACCCAATAAGTACTTAGCGATAGAAATCAATATTATAATTTACTTTGATGCGTAAGATTTTAGTACATTAAAACGTATCGAATGCAACAATTTACCGGGTAAGCATCTACCTGGGTAAGAGTCGTCATCTTCACTTACTGGGTAAGACTCTTCTCCATCTTTCTCATTGCTCTTACCCGGTAAGATTCTAGCCTTTGTCATATTAATCCGATGAGAAAAATTATCCAGTAAGCACTTACCAAGTAAGCGTTTAATGAACGGCCCCTTAATGATGGTTAATGATAAGTAATAAATTGAGGTGTTCCATAAGTAGTAAAAATATGAATTTAATAAATCAAACCAAACCAAACGGAAAAGAACTAGGTGCACAAGGGGATATGATCATGCATTGTGATGATCACATAGATTAATTATTAATCTGATAGATTAATGTTTGTCATTTGGGTACCGATAATGTGTTGTTACATACCGACTAACCAATTGAACAGGATGGACCAGACCGAACCAAGATTGGTCTAGGCCATTGGTCCTAAATTCATCCCCACCCCCCAAAAGACGCGACTTGAGTCCAGAAGACAGTACCAAGTTTTTTTGGACTACTTTGATCAAATTCTTTATAAACCGTACTTTAGTCTGCCCTTAACTCTGTAACTGGTTTTACTCACAACAATAATTAAAATTATCAAACAAAAAAAAAAAAAAAACTCAATGAACTTGGATTTTATAAAAGGAATATTTTCATTTAGGAATACTAGAAGGGTATTTGCGCAATGCAACGAGATAAATCTCCATTTTAATATTTAATTTTTTATCATTTGTCTCTATCGATGTAATATAATTTTATGTGGTTTTGAAAAAGTGATAATTTTTTATTTTTGAATGAAATACAAATTTAAAAATAGCATAATTTTTAAAAAAAATTCGATATTAGTAATAAATTAACTAATAGTTTTCGTTTTTTTGGTGTAACTTATTTAATTCAATTTTTTATTATAATTTAATTTAGGTATAATAACAAAGTAATTTATTTTTGGTTTAATAATATAATTTTGTTAAAGATAATAATTAAACATTCAGTTAGAAACTCGATAATTATCCTAATTATATTTTAATTTTTTTATATTTTAAAATAAGATGTTTATCCTCTATTTGATTATGTTTATCCATAGTTAGTTACACGAATTCAAACATTGAGTTTTAATAAGTTGTACTTAATGCATAATTCATTTGTAATCTCAAATTTTAAGTAATATGCATTAATAAACAATACTTAATACATAAAGAATAATTTTTAAAATTTTTTATCAAATGATTTATAATATAATATAAATTATTGTCATATATTTATATAAAATAAATATAATTATGAAAAATAAAAATGTAAAATTAGGGCATGATATTAAATCTTGATAGCTTTCGGCGTGTACTAGATTCGGTTTGACCAGGTTTGACCGTGTATATAGGCGTAAGTAGTGGTGCACGGGGCGTTACCTTGTTTGGAATCTAACTCAAATAAGAGAGGGTATCTACTATCTACTAATGGTGTTCCCTTTCCATCATTTCTATTTGCAGCCTTTTTCTCAATCCTTATTTCATTTCTTTTTTAAACCCTTCATTTTATTATACTTTGGATACCTTAAAAAATTATCGACAACTGAGTTTGAATCGTAAATTTTGAAAATGATTGACTGACGTCTGAGTCTAGATCGGTTTTATATTTCAGACCAACGACTACCGTATTAGGTTTTGGTCCCGGAACGTTCAGAGCTTAGTCACATCGTAGACGAAAACCGAATTTTGAAGATTTGATCGTTCGGAGTTGTCTTTGCTGAAGTAACGGTAGAAAAAAAAATTGGACCTCGTTGGGACCACTCGGGGACCAATTAAGATTGTACTGCAGACTTGGACCGGTAATAAATTTTAACCCATGCAATATACTAATTCTTTTGTTGACCAGTCAGGATTAGACGCCTGGACCAGATGATGTAGAAATCTATCTACAATTTTGTAAAAGTAGCTGAACGTTTTTACTTACAATAGAGTAAAAGTTATGAGTTTGTATATGTAGTTTTTACTATGTCTAATGTGATTTCTTATGTTCTTTTGCGTATAATTGTATTTTCCAGAATTGATGGTTATAAATGTAGTTTTTACTAGTGCGGAGCGGATAACTGCTGAAAGCATCTAAGTAGTAAGTCCACCCCAAGATGAGTGCTCTCCTATTTCGGCTTCTCTCTAGCATTTCGAAAAGGTAATCCATATTATGCAAGGAGACATTGCTTTTGCTCGTTTTCCATTCATGTCTGGAGTTGAATACTCCATTCAAGAATTGTAAACACAAGCAATAAAATCACACGTTAAAAGATTAACAAACGAAATTACATATGCACTTCGAAGATAATGCCAATGTTAGCGATCTTCTCTACTAGCCAACAAGTACAGTATAAACTTGACATATGGCCCGAGTTGAAAAAATCACTCATAGAACAAAATCTCATGTCTGTGTGGATACCAACTTAACTTTATTAACTTAATTGGTTTCTTGAATGAGGGCGGATGCGGTTACTTTTAACGTACATATTGTTTGATAAAATGATTATTCGGTTCATCTCAATACTAACCTATGGTCCCAGGTTCAAATACAAGGAGGAATAAAAATCCTCTTGTGGCCACGGAGGTTCAAATTTAGTGACTCTGGGCTATCTGCAAAGCAGGTGGTCACCCTGGGATTAGTCGGCTCGCATAGCGGGTTGGATATCCGGGTTAATAGGAGGATGTAGTTAGAAAGAAAGGTTAATTTGAGAGGTAAAGTTGCACCAAAAGTACGATAACAACTAAAATGATAGTAAAGTTAAGGTTGAAAGTATAAGCCACTATGAATTATTGTAAAGAGAATTGACATGTCGCTATTTTCTTTTTCTTTGTGTTCAATGAGCATAAGAGATTCCTTTTCTTAATCTGGTTTGTCGAACTTCCTATTTATAGTAGGAGGTCCACATGTTGACTCGTAAGCTATAGCCTTGTCCGCTGTATAGAACAACTTCTAACGTCTAGTGGCGTTTGATCTATGTATGAAGTTAACGATAAGTTGTTTAAAGGTATATGTCAAGACACCCACCACACCAACCCAAATTCATTATGGGGGAGGTAAATCAACACAAGTCAGTGACATGAGATACAGGTCGGGTTCACTTAACTTGAACTTGATATTTCTTTTTCGTATACTTATAATTCTATCATGAGGCAACATGCGGAGACAAATATATATATATATATATATATATATATATGTTTGTCCTTACCTTATATCGGTTATTGATCTAATGTTCCTTTTCTAATCAAAGGGGTAGGACCCTATTTGGTCTTCATCCATTAACAAGTTTCGACTTTATTAAAAACTGTGAACATCATTGATTGGATTGATACCAACCTTTTAAACCCTTATCGACCAGAAAATGTTGTTTGAAATATTTCTATATATAGTCACTGATAAACAACCCAATATTTTGGGATGAATTGTTCCCTCTACATCTATCCAAATTCGGAAAATACATAAAAATTGGCAAATTTAATGATTTCTATCTTCCAAATATAGTTCAAGATGAGAATATAAGAAGGTTGTCATTTGATATATGATTTTAAAGATGATAGCAAGCACATGAGATGTCCTTTAAAAAACCAACATTTCAAAAACCTAGAAATTCGATTATCAGTGGTTAATTAAAGGTGTATGTAACAGTAATTTCAGATCTGGTAAATGTAATAAGTCGAAGATTGACTATCGTGGTTATAAACGAGCCAACATTTGTATTATGCACCATATGTTCCTATTGATTTGGTTTCAATCGTTTTGATGTGAATCTTGCTAGAACTTTAACCGAGATGTTTTCTTTTTTTGGCTATAGTTTTAGGAATCGAATCAAACCATGAAGATCCATGAACAAAACTTGATTAACTAGTCCATGTAGTTTTCACAATCTAAATCATCTTCATCATCCGCTACCTTCAATCTTCACTCCGCCATTTTTAGTGGTTAATTTGCTTCTCTTTTCGCCTTAAAATCTTTGATATCCTTGTATCCTTACAGGTTGTCTGAGCCTCCAATGACTCTAGGAGCCCGTCACAGGTGATGCCGTTTACTCTATTTTCTCATTGGCCTCCCCGAAACTCTCAACCAGAATTTGCATCAACTTTACGTTCATGGAAGAAATTAAATAGTTATGCTTCTTTCTTTTTTAACGGAGTTTTTGTTATGTTTTCTCAATTATTATGGTTGAGATAATTGACATTTATTATTAACTCTTTTTCGCTTGTTATTTTATTTTAAAACAAACACTAACTTTAAATAAATTTGTCATAATTTAGACGAAAACATGGAAATTTGACTCAAATGGATGGGTACCTTCCCCTAATGGGGTGGAGATTTCTGGTCCAGACAGGTGTTACCTTTGACCATTGGATTTGTAAATAATACACGTAGCATCCAATCAAACACTTAAAAAGAAATTTGTGATTACTTGTCTTATGAGGAGAATGTCGGTGAACCTCATCCATCGGATATAACTTCAAAAGAGCAAAATCCGAAACCTTATTCATATCGATTCGGATGTTAGATATTCACTGTATCCACTTGTATAAGTTGAGAACAATTCTTTTGCCTTAAATATTCTCGATTGACATTCTTATTGATCTTCTTGAAATTCAAGAACCTACAATTTATACCAAGTCTTTGATATCATATGAATCAACCTCATAAAGTTTCT